TCGGGTATGGCCCAGGAGAAGGGCTGTGGCTCCCCAGACCAGGCTGCTCAAACTGGTGATCTCTCTTCCTAGAAAAGAAAGAAAGAAATGTCTTCTAAGAAAGAGAAAAGGCTGAAGGCAGAGGCCAAACCTTCAAAGGTGACTGAAAGATCTCTGGGAAAAGGCAGTGAAGAGGAGGGCGTGTTCCAGGTATGGAGGGCAGGGATATGCTCTAGGAACACATCTTTCTCCTTCCCTTGCTATAGACCTGCCTTCTACCTCCTCTACTTGTAGCTGAGCTGACTGCCTGGGGTGCCTGCTGTCCCTTCACTAGTCCTCTGGCATGCAGAGTGACCCCATGGGCCCTACGGGCTGAGGAGCAGCTTGTTGCAGGGCTGGGTTTAATGCAGGCTCTGTGTCGCCGCAGATTGGGAAGATGCGTTACGTCAGAGTGTCCTGCTTCAAGGGGAGGGTCCTCGTGGACACCAGGGAGTTCTACACTGACAAGGAGGGCAGCATGAAACCAGGGAGGAAAGGTACAACTGCATTCACTAGGTGCCAGCCCCTCCGCCTTGGCTGTTGGCTCTCCAGCTCTGGCTTAGCCCGCCTCCCTCGGTGGTTGAGAGACCTTTGCATGCCACACTAAGGGACTGGGGAGCTGAGCAAACCATATGGGAGGGTTTAGCATTTTCTCAGCACGGGTGGCAACAACTGAAGAAAAGCACAAAGAATGAGTGAGTGTGAGCCTCCAGTGAGATCTGGAGCTTGGCAGGACCACTCTGAGAAGCAGTGCAGGAGCCTGCTGTGTTTCCACCTCTGATCACTAGTCCTTTCTCTGGCTGTTGGCAGGGGCAGAGCTTCAAGGTGGAGGAGGCGAGGCTGAAAACACTGGCTCTGGTGTTGCTTCCTTATGTCCTACTGCTAGCTGACAAACTGGTGTTTTGATACTGATGATGCCTAGGGCAAATAGGTGGCATTTTGTGTATTTGCCCCTGTCTGTAATGGTGGAGCTGTGCTTGGCTGGGAGAGCCTCCCAGAGGTAAATCTGTCCTTCCCTATATAGGTGTTGACGGGAAGGTTAAGACCCTTCTGGATCCCTACCAAGACACTCCAGTGCTGCTGGCATTCCTTATTCTTTTGGCAAGGATGATGTGATAGTGGCACAACTTGAGTGGCCCAGCACAGCAGCACTACCTGAGCAGGTGATGCAAGCAAAGGCAGATGGACAAGGGAAGACACATTTCTTTCTCTAGATCTCTTAAACTGGTGAGTCAACACTCAGGCCTTTTGCTTTGGGACTTTGACAGTGACTTGCCAGCTTGCCTCATCCTTCACAGGCCCTGGACTCCATCCAAAGACTCGGTTAGTGTGAGGTTTCTCGAGGAACCTTTTGGTCCTTATTACAGGTTTTTCTGTCAGGGTAGATTAATTTGTTTCAGCTGGGTTTGCTTCATAACCACTAAGCATGATTTTCCTTCCGGAAATTAATTTCCTTCAGAGAAGTTACAAGTATAGATTACTCAGAGGGAACTGTGTACCCTGTAATGGAAATGGGAAGCAAAGCCCTCAAGCTTCTCTGGGCCATTGGAGGCAGAGAGGGAAAGGAACATTTTGGACTCCTTCCAGGCTGGGAAAAGCACACCCACAATGTAAGACAAAAGATCTGTCAGTTAAAACAGAGATCATGAGGAAATATTTTTTCATTTATATACTGCCTCTGCTGTTGTTCTCAAGAGTTCTTGGATTCTGGTCTTTGTCTAGAAAATTTAATAAAGCTTGAGCCCTAGTTCTTTAATGTGATTCTTAACAAAGCCCAAAGGAACAAGTTGACAACTTCTGGCTGGAATCCACACAGCAATTCCACTACTGTGTATGTTTTTTAAGGGAGAGGGACAGGACATCAAGACTGTCTCTGCTGGATCTAAAAGAAGCCAGTTCTTCTCTAGTGTTTAAGCCACACTAGTGATTTCTAGTTCGCTGCAGGTTTTTTTTAAATAGAGCTAGGGTTGGCATTATTTCCTTTGGGTAATTGAAAGGATGATGTCCTAACTGCTACGTGGAGTATGATTCTCCTAGAATTTCTTCCCAGCTCGTGTGGGTGGGAGTTTGTACTAGGAAACAGGCTGGAAGGGGCTATGGGACTCTTGAAAGGCAATTTTAGCTTACGGAAGCACCATGCGAGAATATGATAGCATTGAGTACTACTTGATGTGGATGCTGAAGTGCTGGCACAACTGCTGTGATTAGAAGGCTGCCTCTGTTTCTGGTCTGTGCCTCTGCCTCAGTTTCCAACTTTCCCTTGTGTAGCTAGTCTGAAGGAGCCAATCTGGTGTACTGCTTGATGCTTACCCCTTGCCTCCTCTGAAACCTCTCCCTCTGCTGTTTCTAGGGATTGCCCTGGCTGCAGAACAGTGGAATGAACTGAAGGAGATAATTTCTGAGATCGATGCTGCAGTCAAGAAATTGTAAGATGGAGTATCTTGGACATCTTCAGTCTGTTTCCTTTCCCTCAAGTGCACTGACAACAATAAAGCCAAGGATTCTCATCTGGAGCCTTCTCCTCACCTTGCTGGGGTTTCCTCACTGAGATGGTGGTCATGCTGAAAAGACCAGAGACTCTTCTGTTTTCAAGGAGTAGCTTGTAATGAGCACCTGGAACCAGAGCCAGTGCTGTGAAGTGAGACTTCAGCACCTCTGGTCTCAAGCAGACTTGAGGTCTGTGCTGGTGAGGGACGTGATGCCAGCCTGGCTTTCCAGGGGTGGATGGCTTCAGTCTACCTTGTGGAGTGCTTGAACTGCTCTGCATCTGTTACTGTCTTCCACTTGTTGACTGCTGAGTAAGATGGTTTGTATACCTCATGTTGGTATCATCTGTGTTTCTCCCACATGGCATTATGGCTGTTTCAAGTGCTTTGTGTGTTGGTGAGGGTTGTTTGGTGGGTTTTGAGGGGTTTTCTTTTTTTTTTTTTTTTTTTTGTGAAGAAAGAGATGATTATACTTGAGCAACTGGTTTGTCTGTAGAGGGTGAATATGCACAATAAATGTGTTTGCATTATAAAAAGGAGAGGCATAGTGTTTCACAGGCTGGCACCTGAACTCTTTGTTTCAGGCACCCTTCTTTGTAGGTTGCTGTTGGATTTCCCTTTCAGGAGGAGAGTGCTCTGTAGTGTTTATTCTCATTATATGTTCCCAATAATGCTGCTATACAGAAGCAGTCAGACAGTGGTCTACTCCAGGTCATGGGAAGGGCAAGCTAGAATGTGAATCAGTCAAAGAAACTGGTAATTAGGAGGCTTATTAAATAGAGGGAAAATTAAAGGCCTGAGGAGGAAAAAGAATATTCCTTTCCCTGTGGCAGAGAAAAATGACAAGCTATTGAAAGAGTGGAGAGAGGATATTTTATGCTTGAGCTCTAAATGGATCCTACTCTGGGATCAGCTGCAGCAAGAACAGCCTTCCTTAACAAGCCTTATCCAGACTTTTCAACAGCTTGTGTCTTCCATCTATTTTTGGTTTTTCTCTTGCCCTGGTTTCCATAGTATCTGAATGTTTCATGCTTTTAAATATATCTGACACTTGCAGCACCTTGGTGAAGTAGGAGGTACTAAGGCCCTTGCTCTGTAGAGGTGCTGGGGCTGTAACAGCTCAGGGTTGTGTGGAAGATGTGGGGTGGAGCAGTGAACTGAAACTAGGCTTTCCTAAATGCCGAATTTATAACTGCTGGATTAATCTTTTGCTAGGCATAGCAAGAGGAAAATAAAAAAATCTTCATAAAACTGTCCCTGAAAAAAATTTCGAAGGGCTCAGTGCTGTAGCTGCTTGTAGCAGGGGTGGAGATGGATAGGCTTGATGACTGAGGCATTTGCCTCTAATCCTCTGTTCAGCTGTTCTCTATTTTAGTGTTACATTTCTTTCAAGTAAGTGAGAGAGAGCATGAGGGTACTAGACTATGTCCTGAAGCCAGGTTGCTCATGCTATAAGCTTATTCCCGGGGAATATTTATAACATAATGTCTTAATACAGTGTTCACACACCAAAGGTAATGGGAAGATAAAGAACTTAACAAAAAACAAAGATATGAAAGAGAAGCAGATGGTGTAGGTATGTACCCAAGATGCTAGGGACGCTCAGTCTTTGTTTTGACCCAGCTCTGGGGTACCCAGGCTAAAGCACGTGACAGAAGCAGCTATCTCTGTGCATGACATACTCTTTGCTGATTAAAAACAGGTCCAAACTGAACTTGATCAGCTCAATTGAATATTGCATGGTTCTAGAGCTGATGAGTGGCCTCCCCTTAATTGGGAAAGGAGGGCCATGTTCCATTGTTTTTCTGACTAGCTTTCTTTCAAGTGTTGGAAAAAACAGTTTGAAAACAACCCAAGCTTTTTGTGTAACAGACAACAAGGCGGGTTTTTTTTTTCTTTTTTAATCCTCAAAGAACAGCTGCTGTTGATCAGAAAGATATCTGAATCTTTGATGTTCATTTCCAATCTACCCACTGTTACAGACAACTTCTGGTCATAAAATCAACAAGCATTAAAACTTAGTTAATTTTTGATTTGTTGCAAAGTTAAAATATTAAAAAAACCTGATCTTAAATTGGTTAGGATTACAGATATCCAATGAAAGGTAAGCAGCAGAGTCTTGGTAAACAAGAGAGGATGAAAGCTAATAGCAATTTATACTCTTTTACTGAACTGTGATCTGGCTTAAACTGTTAATCTGGCTGTTTAGGAGCAGTTTTCTTTGTAGAAAACCTTTTGCTCCAGATCAGAAACAATCACATTACAGGAATGTACTTTTATCTTCTTGAGACATTATATTGTTGCTTGGATATTTTCTGCCAGGACTGTCTTAACTAGTGTTTTGGCTTTTCTACCTGGGGAGCAAATAGGTAAGGGAAAGCAGATTGTTTTGAAGGATCCTTGAAAGATCCTCCCTCCTTCCCCTTTTTTCTGGGCTGTTGTGAGCATTTCCTGCCTCAAGTGCTGTCTCCTAGGTGATGTGGAAATTCAGAGCTCCAGCTTGTATTTTGTCCATTCCTTGCTGCCTTTAGGAGCTGGAACGAAAAGGCAGGCACTCATAATGCAAAGTGTGCCTTGGTGTTCCTGTGTCCTTTGTTTGAGCCTTTCTCAAATTTGGGCGACTGGATCTCTTCACCTTTTATCTTAAGCTGCCCCTGTCTAAATCCAAACACTTCTATGTCACAAGAAACCAGGAAAGTATAGATGTGTTTGAAGACAAACACCTCGGTTTTTTCCACTAGCAAATGTCTCTATGCAGAAGAGAAACTTCTTGGGCACACAATGTGGCTTTCTTTTTAACACTTACTTTTTGAAGCAGTGTCTGAGGTTTGGGCAGAACCTGTTCCTTCATCCTCTGGGAATCGTGCACCTGAGCTCTGCTGTGCCCCTTCTAACTCTCACAGCCTCCTCAGTGACAGATGCAACATGCTTCTCCTTCATCTGTGCAGATGACCTGTCCTTTCCCTTTTTTACTCTCTTGGTGCTATGACTGTCTTCTAACTACCCCTTAATCCTGTTACTGTGGTATATAATTCTCTGGCTCTGTAAACTCTTTCCAGGTGCTGATTGACAGCCGTTCTGTTTTTCATTTACTAGCAGTATTTTCATGTCTGTTTTTCTCTACTGCAGTCAGGGTGATTATAATATGTCCATTCATGGACTCCAAAAGATACTGGATATAGCTTTCCTTCTAAATAGGCATTTTCTGCCTGAGGCACTGGGTCCCTCAAGCTGTAACATAAGCCTAGAGTAGATTGTGCTGCAGCAGCTGACATGAAAAAGCAGGCTAGGCATAGAAAGGTGCTTGAAAATATTACTTGCTTAGCCACGATTCATCTGAGGTGAGGTTTGCTGCAGTTGTGATAAAGGTCTTCTGTTTTTAAGATTGTCTTGTCTGTCTGCAGTTAAAAATGAGAACAGTTTGACTTGTCATAGGCTTCCTGGCTGATGCATCTGTGGCTTCTGAATAGTTGGCAGAACCCTGGCAGCTTCTGCAAGAGATATAAACAGAAAGTTTGACCAGTGTGGGGAATTCTTTTTGTTTTTTTTTTTCTTTTTTTTTTTAGGGTGAATTTTAGGAGTGGTACCACCCTCAAACACTAGGCAGCTCTACAGCAAGAGTCTTGATACACCTTGCAATGGCCCCTGGGTTCAGGCCAGGCTGCAAAAAGCTGAGGGCTTTGGAGTCCATTTCAGTGAAAAGCCTGGATGCAAATTCCAGGCTTTTGCACCTGCTGGCCCTGAATAAGTGTTCTGGCAGCTCCGCACACAGGTGGGGACAATTGCCAGGGTTGGAGAAAGAAGGATACAGAACTGTAGCCTGGAGAAGAGTTGAGGTTCTCTGCTGAGCACAAGAGGAGAGAAATGAATCCACAGTGCTTTCCTACTGAGGGCCAGCATGTGCCTCTGCAGAGGCATCTGTCATTCTAGCCATGACTTCAGCCTGGGAGCCAGGTGGGTGCTCATACCTGAACAGTGAACAGTACTCTCAGTTCCTCTTTCTGCTTCCTAGGATTGGGACCCCTCTTCTTTCTCTGATAATCCACCCCCTTTTTCCTAACCTTTCCTGCAGAGATATCGGCACTGAAACCTGCTGCAAGTATTTCCTGTTGCAGAGGCCTAGAGTCAGCCCTCTACCTTTTTGGGTAAAATCAAGCATAACAGATCTGTGTAGTATTTGAGCCAGTGCTCTGGGAGGTGAGCTGTGTGAGCTAGTATGTGGGGCAGTGGGGAGAGGGAGGAAGTACAGGCTTGGGGTGGACCTGCTGGAGAGCAGCTCTGTGGAGAGGGACCTGGGTGTCCTGGTGGACGACAGGTTAAC